TGTGAAGGTGGGAGGTGTCATTGTGTATGTTTTCTACATGCATGTGGATTTTTTTAAAGGGATGTTGGCCCCTTGGAGGAAGTCATCTGTTTGGCGTGGTTTTTTTTTCTTCTCATGCTATTTTCAAGCGTGTGAGAAGAGTTTTCTTTGTTTGGGTGTTGTGGCTTTGTTCATTATTTTCTAGGACAGTGGATAGAGACAGATAGAGAGTTGGGAATGCGGAGGTCGGAGGTCGGATTTGAAACTAGACTACCCGCTTTGAGTACCATCCACTCGCACTAACCACTAGGCTTCCGTTACCCCTTTTACATTGATTGTACTGTCATAAATAAGCAGTTCCACTGATTTCAGACTAGCTGTGTGATGGTTACATTTTCATATCAGCGTTAATGTTTACCAGTCAGAGCTTTCATGATGCGTTCCATTTGTTCTTAAAACTACCAAATTTAGAGATTCCAGTAGGATTTGTCATCCGCAACGCCCCCTTGAAGAAGGAACTCCAACATGGAAACTCAGAGAAACTTTAGTAATCTGTTCCATTTGAACCCCGGAAGTCAGAAACCCAGAGTTGCCAGTCTTGATACACCACCAGGAACGCCCCCCAAAGTTGGAGCTGACATCAGGAACATGCAGCTAACAACACGCAGACTGTCTGAACACCATGACGATACGAGCCCGGGCCGCCGTGGAGCAGGACTCAGTGACCACCCCACTGCCTGAAACCTTATGTTGACTGAATTTGAGTTGAAGTTGAGGTAAATTTGTAGTCATTCTAAATAAAAAGCATTTTTACTCAAATAAACTTGTATTTAGAATCCTTTAGGTTTCTTACCTTGTATTTACAGTTCAGTAGTTTTGTCCTCACATTGTTGACCCTGATCTTCTTCCTTTCATTTAAAGCTCCTGTGGGGAGTTTTTAGATTCTTAAAAATCCGACTAGAATGAATATGACCTACAAAGCATCAGCATGTAGGTTGCATATTTCCTTATTGTTATTTGTAATGTCTGAAATTGCTCCTGCGGGGGTTAGGTGTCAGAACAGGTGATAAACATCACACTGAAGAAACAGGATTGTTTTGACCTTTTTCCACATCACAGATTCACAGCGAGTGAGAGGTTTGACTGTCAGAGGAAAGTAGGAAATACTTTTGATCCAAAAACCTCCCTTTCTTAAATATGTTCAGGACAAGGTCAGCACAGAGATAACAACTACTACTTTGTCCACTAGAGGTGGGGGAAAATATCAATTTATGTAAAAATCGAGATTCTTATCTTCTGAGATCATTTTTTTTGGGCTAATCAGTCACTCCCTGCTAAGTGCTAAGGTTAGCTCTTTAACTCAGTAGAATACCAAATGGAGCAGCAATAAATTCAGCCAGTCTGTACTAATTCATAAATAGACTTTCAGATCCATGAATCATGAATCCAGAATCGTTTTGAATTGAAAATCGATTCTAAATCGAATCGTAACCCAAAGAATCTAAATCGAATTGTGAGACACTGAAAGACTGCCAGCCCTAGTGTCAACAGGGGGGCGCCAAATGAACACAGGAGCTTCAAATCCTTTTTGTAAATTGGAAAACTTTACATTTGTTAAGATGGGGAAAAATTTGTCATGACAACATTTACACTAACTTCTATTAACAATGAATTAAAGATTATATATCGCCTTGATTCATTTTTCTACAATGTTTATTTTGTGTAATATCTGAGGATAAAGTGTTATCTACACAAAGTGTGTCAGGTCCATGTTATTGCTGTCTCTTTCTCTCTCTCTCTCTCTCTCTCTCTGAGTTAGCCGGTCACTCAGGGAAACACTGACTTACTTCCCTTCCCACTCCTGCTTTGAATGTCATTTACATTTGATGTATTAATGTGTGTAGCTGTGAATTCCCCTTCTCTTGACACGAGGAAGGTGTGGTGACAAAACAAACACTGACAGTAAACAAGTGTCATCAGTTCATGTAGCTCTCCGACTGGAGGCTTTCAATGCCCCTTGATGTGAAAAAATAATTGACACGATGTGCATTCAACTCCCCATAGGAACGTATGGAATAAGTAGGTCTGCTTATGACTTATCGGCAGATAATATATCCCATATTAGCATATCCAGTGACTATCGGTATTGACATTTTTAACATGCAAAGAGACGTTTTCAAAGCCCTTCCTTGTGATTTCCACAATGGACAGCTTCTCTTTTTGTTGTTTTCAATGGATTTTTTTTTTTTTTTAATATGACTTCCTTTTACCACAATTTCCTAACGGGGGTGTAGATTTCTGATAAAGGAAGTCATTTGAGCCAATCAGAATAGATTGAATGTGTGTTGCCCTTTGCATCATATAGCAATATTGTGTTTGTGTGGTTTGCTTGTTGTGATGAATGTTACAAGCTGAGGCTCCCCGATTCATTCAGGATCCAGTGGAAAGATCTTGAAACAGTCTTCAGAGGGTTGCATGGTCGAACACCTCGTTATATTAAAGAACTCAGGAAGCTGCACTACCCCAGCAGGACCGGTCTTCTGATCAGGGTCTGCTGGTGGTTGTTTTGTTTAATCAGGATTCAAGAGAGAGAGAGAGAGAGAGAGAGAGAGAGAGAGAGAGAGAGAGAGGCTTGACTTAATATGACTTAAAGAGGACATATTATCCCTCTTTTCCACCTTTTCAAACAGTCCCCCTGTGGTCTAAATGAAACATCTGTGCTATGCTTTGGTCAGAATATAACATGAATCAAGAACCAGAGGAGGTTTGTGACCCTGTATAAACCAGCTCTCTCAGAACGCTCCGTTTTGGTGTGTGTGTCTCTTTAAATGTAATGACCCCCCCCCTGAGTTTTCCCCGTAGACATCACTCCTCTGTAGTGTGAATAAAAATGTCAGCCCTGCGTAAAAGTTTTCATCTAGGCTGGGGGTGGAGTCCATGGGTGGAGATACCAGGGGAGGGGAGGGGATTTGTTTTTACCAGAATCCCACTGTGACATCACAAGGAGAGCACATTTGAAACAGAGAATTTTTCTCTTTGTTGTAAGACTTATGTAGACCACAAACAAAGGACTGGATGGGTTTATTTCACACTTTGTGGGTCAGTAGACACTCAGGTTACCCAAATATATGTTCAAACACACTGTTAAAGTGGATTTTTATAATATAATATGTCCCCTTTAATTCTTCTTTGCCACTATTCAAGGTTTGAACTCTTTCTTTCTTTCACGCAGGAGCCGATATAGAGGCCTATAACTTAAAAACAGAGAAGTAAAGCCTGAGTATCAGACGGTGTGAACATTATTTAAAGATCACATATCATGCAAAATCCTCTTCCACATGTTTCTCTAACTCTAATATGTGTCCCCCGTCCGTCTACAAACCCCCCAACGATGAGAGAAGTCCATCCTCTCTCCGTCTTCTGCCTGCTCCACTTTTCAGAAAATGTGTGCTCAAACAGTCTGAATCACCAAAAAGAGCCAGAACTCCCATCACTAGATTCTGCAAACGATCACGTTTTTTTCCACATCTATTTAATTTTGAAGGTTTTATTGTCATTGTAATGTATTTATTATTGAATGGTGATTTAGTGGTGATGAAATTTAACACAGCTTCAGTAAAAAACATGAAACTGATGTGCTGCACACAGAGAGTTTGTTGCTGTTGCTTATTTCCAACTCTCTGAGTAAAGAATGTATAAAATATACAACGTCCAATAACATAAAACCACATGACACCATATGAGGATACATTAAAATACACACACACACACACACACACACACACACACACACACACACACACACACACACACCTGAGAAAGCTCCTTATTGAAAATGTCAGCACCAACAGAAAGTCATAGTCTCAGTAGTTTTCATATCTAAACATCTCCCTGCTCATTCATAAACTGTGTTATACCTCCACCGCCTGGGAGAACACACACACACACACACACACACACACACACACACACACACACACACACACACACACACACACACACACACACACACACACACACACGCACACTAAACTCGCTTCACATGCAATGACCCCTCTCTGACCACGAGATGGCGTTGTTACCTCTGCTGCAAACAGTCAACAGGTCCATCTCCCTGAGAAGTCATCACAGGAGAGGGATCCTGTAGCTTTAAGTGGACTCCATGTTTCTCTATTCATAAAGACCTAAAGTTTAAAAGAATGTGACACTTTTTCTTTAATTAAATATCACTCTGCTGCTGCTGTGATTAGTATTATGTGGTTTGGATATTAAAGAAGAGTAATAATAGTTACCAATCAACATTTTTATTTCATGTTAAATGATTCACATTAGGCTCACCTTCTATTTTATTCATATTTTCTATTTCTTTCTTTGTTTTATTTCTTTATTTGAGGGGGAGGGCCTTTTTTTTTTCTTAATTGTTTTTATTAAAATAAGTTGTCCATTTGAATTTCTCCTGGTTTTGGACTCCTCAGTTTGAATGTTAAATGTGGATTTCTTATTCAAAGTATCGTCATGAATTCAATGATGCGCAGTGTGCAAATAATTACGGCAACTGTGATAAAGACTCAGTACAGTATGACCTTGTTTACGGTTTGTTAACTTAAATATTTACGGTTGTTATAACGTTTTTATTTTAATTCTGTTCATCCTTTTTCTTCTATGGTTTCTTATAGCATTTGTAGTTTTTAAATCTTGTAGCAAAAACTACAAATCACTGCCTTGTGTATAAACATTTTACTACATAAGACATAACTATTATCACCAATTTAAATAAACCGAGCAGCACAGTATAAGTAGAGAAATTGTAATAATGACAATAGTACTGGGCCTTTTGATTTCCTTTGATGGGTAATAAAACAAATGAATTATGTGCGTAATGTGCGCTGATTGCATTCAGGGTATCAGCTTTCCTGATGAAGGTGTGACATCTCTGCAATCAATCAGAGCTCCTTCCACCAGTGGATGTCGTTGTTCTGCCTGGTGACACCTCACCAACCTCCTTAAGATGAGCTGATCCACGGCTGTGCCAAGCAAGATCCGAGAGAGGGAGAGCGAGAGAGAGAAAGAGAGAGAGAGGGGGGGAAGAGGAGAGAGTGAGAGTGAGAGAGAGAGAGAGATTGTGAAAAGACCGGCAGGAGGAGTGGGACTTGCTATAAGGACACTAGCGACTCTTAAATCCAGCAGCTGCTCTGTTTTTTACGCAGCAGATTTGAAGAAACAAACATCCACACAGGAGGAGCTGGGAGTGAAGGGAAAGCCTCCTGATACATCGCTGCTGTTTCACATCTTCAGGAATCATCCTCAGGTAAAGTGGGCTTTATAGAAATGTGAGAAAAGAAAGTGTTTGTTTGGAAACTAAATGTTCATATCGCTCATCCATCATCACCAAACTTATCTGGGTTTTTTTTTTCATCTCCATTCCTCTCCTCCTCCTCCTCAGCGGCAGACTAACTCGGGGGACCACCAGGACCTGCTACCATGACCCGGGCTGTGGATGTTGTGCTCACCGCTTTGCTCGCCGCGTCCCTCTCGTGCCGGTGCGCCCTCGCCGGTTACGGGATCAGCCTGTTCGCGGCGCAGACCTCCCCCCCGGACCCCTGCTACGACGAGCACGGCAACCCGCGGCGCTGCATCCCGGACTTCGTCAACTCCGCCTTCGGCAAGGAGGTGAAGGTGTCCAGCACCTGCGGCAAGACCCCCAGCCGCTACTGCGTGGTGACCTCCGCGGAGAAAGGGGACGAGAGGACCAGGAACTGTCACACCTGCGACGCGTCGGACCCGAGGAAGTACCATCCTCCCGCGTACCTCACGGACCTCAACAACCCGCACAACCTCACGTGCTGGCAGTCGGAGAACTTCATCCAGTACCCGCAGAACGTCACCCTGACTCTGTCCCTGGAGAAGAAGTTCGAGGTGACTTACGTGAGCCTGCAGTTCTGCTCGCCGCGGCCTGAATCCATGGTGATTTATAAGTCCATGGACTACGGGAAAACGTGGGTGCCCTTTCAGTTTTACTCCACGCAGTGCCGGAAGATGTACAACAAACCGAACCGAGCCGCGATCACCAAGCAGAACGAGCAGGAGGCCGTGTGCACGGACTCCCACACCGACATGTACCCTCTGACCGGCGGCCTCATCGCCTTCAGCACGCTGGACGGGAGACCCTCCGCGCACGACTTTGACAACTCCCCGGTGCTGCAGGACTGGGTCACGGCCACCGACATCAAAGTCATCTTCAGCAGGTTGCACACGTTCGGGGACGAGAACGAGGACGACTCGGAGCTGGCCCGGGACTCGTACTTCTACGCCGTGTCCGACCTGCAGGTCGGGGGGAGATGCAAGTGCAACGGCCACGCGTCCCGGTGCGTAAAGGACCGGGACGGGAGTCTGGTGTGCGAGTGCAAACACAACACCGCGGGGCCGGAGTGCGACAGGTGCAAACCTTTCCACTACGACAGACCGTGGCAGAGAGCCACAGCCCGGGAGGCCAACGAGTGCGTGGGTGAGTCCATCCTCAGTGTCCGTCATAGAAAATGATGCTTTTCGCTTTTTGAAGACGAGCTGTCGTCCATGGAGGGAAATATTTATGGAAAAAAAAAGATCGGAAAATTATTAAAATTAAGGACATTTTGTCATGCTAAAATCTGGTCTTTTAATCCTGTTAAAGGAAATAAATAATGATATTAATAATAGCCAACTAATTTAAATAAAAATTGTAATATATTTGTATTAAAAAAATTCTGCACCTTCAATTAATTAACCCCAAATTCCTTCATCCCCTTAAACATAAACCACAACAAAGCGACATTTTTTCCACTATTTTTTTCCAAGCACCAAATTGCGTCGCAGCCACATGCAACACGTAAATGTAATTTGACAGTCCATTTAGCTTGTTGGAGGCCACGATGGAGCTCTGAAACCACCTCAAACGGAACCACAGAGCCAAACATGCAGAGTCAGGAACGATGCTTTTCATTTAAGAGAGGAATCCAGAACCAATCCCTCCACAGCGATGATTAAACACACATTAGCATTTATTATTACCGTTACTTAATTAATGATCAAAATCAAGTAAACACATCACAGTTTAAAATGTTTAAAATGTAGCCCTCACGTGCTGATTCTTTGGTATTTTAGCGCCAAAACGTAAATGAAAATTAACGCAGTTCATCTCTTGTTTTAATTTATATTAAGGCTTCAGTTTAAGTGCAATTAAAGAAAAAACTTCGACAGTGAGAATCTCTTAAATTTAGATATTTTTCTAATTATTTTAATCACTAATTAATATAAAGACACAACCGGAAACCAGCAGAGAACATGGTGTTTAAATGTTTCTCCAAGAAATCAGGTGCCACATGATCAAATGAATTAAAGCCACAGGACTTCAATAAGATTAGAAAATCCTTTATTGACGCTCAGTGTAGACATTCAAGTGTTGCAGCAGTGAAAAGTGTAGAAGAAGAGTGTGCAAATAAAATGAGAATATATAGGAATCAAATAAAGATAAAGGTACAATGTTTTTACAATTATTAACTTGGAGCTGGTGTCCTTAAATGTTTTTAAATCTAAATTGAAAGACCTGGAAGCAGATTCTTTAGGATGTCGATGCTTTGAGCTCGGTTCCTTGGACTACTCACTCCCAGATTTGACTCATAGATGTTTCTAGATTTTTTTTTTAGATTTTTTTTGTAAAATTGTCTCTCTTTGTGTCTCCGTCTGTAACTTTGTGTTTTTGCTGCTGCCTGTCTCGGCCAGGTCTCCCTTTAAACAGAGGTTCTTAATCTCAATGGGACCAGTCTGGTTTAATAAAACATAAATAAACTATACACCAATTAAGATCCAAACTATACACTAAAAACTGTACAGGACATTGAGACATGATCATGGCTGTAAGCAGATATGAGGTCAATGAGGTCTGGACCACTCTGCTCACCCACCCCATGATTTGGGCTGGACGTGATCCACAAACAAGAAGTAAATGTGTGTGAGTTTGTGTCGGTCAGGTGTTTAAGCTTGAGTTGAATTAGAAGCATTTGAGCATGAATGTAGCCAGCCTGGAAAAGCCATGAATAAGACACATCAATTTTCTAAACCCTGGTTTGGGCCCTGGACATGATTAAAGTGACAGAGCTGAGATAAGGTGACAAAAGTGAGACTTAAATATCAAAAGAAACACCCAGCAGGTAATATGACATGAGTCAGTTTGGACCTTGGTGGTGTGTGTGTGTGTGTTTGGAGAGTCGGGGTTGTGTGTTTGATGACGGCTGAATGACCGTGTAGAGGAACAATAACTGTTTGAGTTTGTGTGGTGACGTGACAGGAAATCAGGACGCCCCAGAGGTTGTGAGAGCTTGTCTGAAAATTCTGCAGATGTTTGAAATATCTGTGGTTTTGTAAAGTAGAGTGAGCATTAAGACGTCTAATTTTCCTAAATGTGCTTTGAGTTTTAATGCTCGTTGATTTGAACACTTTGATGTAAACGTGAGAGAGAAATGACCCTGTGAGGTGGATTTCTTGCAATATTTGTATTTTTTCTAGTAAATTTGCAAAATGAAAAAGTGAGAAATGAAAAATAATTCAAGCTGGAAGTTTTCAAGTGTGGAAAAAATTATAATACTGAAAACACTACACAGTGGAAATTGTTAATCAGGGATGAGAGAAACTGTTGATTCTAACTCGGGTTAATTTTTGACCCGCTTCTGAAGAGTGGAGGGTCTGATCACTTTGTGCATCTATAAGGGTGAAGACTTCCTGAACCTGGAGCTGTTTTGAGATATTTTGGCACTTCAATACAAATATCAATTCAATTTAAACAGAATGATTTGATCCTCTACAAAGTGTTTAAACTGTGAAGAATGCAGAAAAACACTGGATGTTGGCGCGTCTCTCGTCGTGCACATCAGTGAGGAGGAGATGCAGAAAGATGTTGTTGATTGAAAGTTAAAAAACGTCATAGAGAGAGAGACTCCACACAGTCAAACGTTCCCCCTCTCTGCAGTGGAACGAGTGTGTGACACATGTCAGCCTCTCTGACATGCAGCAGCTGTTTGAAAGCTTTTTTTTTTGTCCGCTGGTGTTTTTTTTTTTCTTCTTTGTGGAAAGCTTCGGACGTTTTCTCACTGCTAGTTAACAGGTGTTACTAAATCAACACATTCACTTCTGTGGAAATCTCTCTCTGCTTTCTGTGACTCCTGAAACACTCGTGATGAGTTGGAGACAGAAATGACATTTTCCTGTCTGAAGGTTTTATCTTCCCTTTATGACATCAGCCTTTATTCCTTTTCCTTGTAGTAAAAACTGTTTTTTTTTTACATGCAGAGAGAGTCGATTCAGAGAAGCAGATTCTTTAGGATGTCGATGCAGACTCCCAGATTTGACTCATAGATGTTTTTTATCTTTTAATGCAGAATTCAGTGTTTTTGTAAATTGTACTTTGTCTCTCTTTGTGTCTCCGTCTGTAACTTTGAGTTTTTGCTGCTGACTGTCTCGTCCAGGTCTCCCTTGAAAAAGAGGGTTCTCAATCTCGATGGAACAAACCTGGTTAAATAAAAAATATTAAATTAAGAAGCTCTGCAGCGAGAATCCCTGTTTTGATAAATTTCTGATCGAATTAAAAAGTAGAGATTTATTTTAAATTTGATATTGAAATTGTGTGATGCGTGTGAGGACACTACAAAAAAACAGTTAAGACTCAACTCCCTAAAATCCTACAAATTAAATGTTTCCTCTATTTAAGTCCTAAGAAATGTAATTGTTTTTAAAGAGCACATGTATAATAAGTAGGGCTGTCAAACAATTACATTTTTTATACTGCATGTTTAAATTCCATTATTTCACATTTAAAAATAATAAAATGTTAGGCTTTTATTTTGAAATGTGTTTCCCGCTGAGAGTACTTTCCTCACTGTTTGAATTCAACCATGCTTTTATTTTGATATGTTTGTACTGTCTTAAGCTGAGAGTACTTTCCTCGCTGAATTCAACCGTGCTTTTATTCTGAAATATAGATAAGTAGATGAAGTTCAGAACATGAACTTAAGCCCAGAAACAGGAAGTGGTTAGCGATTCTGAACTGACGTCAAACAGCTCAAAGGAACGGTAACAAAGGTCACTGTGTGATGTCATGAGGTCAATGTGTGATGTCATGAGGTGGACTTTGGACTCGTCAGCTGAGCTGTCTGAGAGTTTGTTAAACACATCACTGAGACTACAGCGAGACACTGACGACGGCGATCTACGGTGAGCCTGAAGGGACAAAACAGCCTGAGATTTTCATCATTTTAGAAATTTATGAATGAGTTCAAACTAATTTAAAATCTTGCAGAGAGGAAGAAACCACTCGGCTGTGAAGGCGGTTAATGAAAAAAAAGAGATGAGGTGTGTTACATGAGTTTGTAGCTGAGGGTGTTGTGGTTACAATCGTGTTTTCGTCAGGGGGACTGAGGGTCCGTCGTTCGATGCAGTAACCACTGATGATCTGGAGCGTTTCAGTCCTCTGAGTGTGTGTGTGTGTGTGTGTGTGTGTGTGTGTGTGTGTGTGTGTGTGTGTGTGTTTGACTCTACTATAAGTGCACTCTGATGATTACCTCCATCAGGACCTCAGAGAACACTCATATGATGTTCTGGATGCATCCTGTCAGAGCCGCTCCTCCACACTCGGCTCTCAGAGTGAGGAAGGTGAAACTGTGTCAGCTAATTGCTGCGTTGATGAGAACCGGCTGGTGTCAGAGAGCCCCCCCCCCCCCCGGAGATAAATTCTTGCAACGCTAATGTACTGTAAAAGTAATTCTGTTTTCATCCTCCAGTTCTCACATTTGTGCAGTTTACTTGACGTGTTGAGTGAAAAAAAAAAAACAGAAGAAGAAGAAGAGAAGGTGTCTTGAATAATTCAGGGAGATTAGAAAGCGAAGCTCGGAGGCATGCAGAATGAGGGGACCGGCTCTGCAGAGAGGAGAGAGAGGAGCAGGGCCCGAGGGAGGGGTGGGGGGGGGGACGACAATGGAGAAAATGAAAGAGATGTAAGGGAGAGAGAGAAGGGGGGGGAGGGGGAGAGGGGGGAGTGTGATGAGAAAAATGTGTGAAGGAGAGGAGCACGGAAATAAAGGTGACATTTCCATGGCCTGTGGGCCAGCAGGCGCCTCTGAGTGTAAGAGCTGCCGGGACAGGAAGATACTTTTTTCTTTGCCTTCCATCCACTTTAAAAAAATAAAATCACAGTTGTGTTTGTGCACTAATTCTGTAAGTTCAGTGAAACCACAGCAAGCGTCTCTGCTCTCTGGTTTGTGTTATTACTCCTTTACGTCTGTTTGCACACGAGGAGTCTTCCCCTCCTAAAGCAGCTGGAGGATTTCTGCCTCGCTTTTTTTTTTAAATATAAGCTGCAGAAATCACAAACCAATCAGATGTGCTGACAGGAGTGCAGAGAAGGTCGCATGGGGGATTTGACGCCCGTAAGAATAATTGTAAAAAGTAGTTGTTTTCATGCACGTGAAAATATAGAAGTGTATTCACCTTGAAACATTCAGTGCAGTGTTTCC